ACCTCATTGCCTGAAACACAATTGGTCGTATCGACGGCACGAAAACGAGCTTGCAACGTGTCTATCGCTGGAGATTAAGTTTGAAAGCTTGTATGATTCTAATGCGCGATATATGTATTATAAGTAGAAGAGATATGGCATGGTCGGAAAGTGGATTCTCCATCAACGATGGCATCGATGAATGTTATAGCATTCAGGGTCGTTGCAACGTTTTATAGTTCTATTATGCTTCATATGTTGTTGATTAAAGTTTACGGCACTTGTTGCTCCGATTCTCAGATTGATCGTGGCAATAGATTCACTTGAAAGTATTAATTGATATAACAATTCGATTGTACCGTGGCGTTTTCAATTAAAAATTTCGACGCCTGTAGGACTTGCGATTAAATTGTGGAATTTGCAGCAATAAGGCAACTTCGATTTAAATTGTATTTATTGGAATGGAAAGGAAGGTACAGGTTTCGCGTTCAAAAGTGCGAAAGTTTATTAAAATACGAATGTTAATCGACTACGAATGTCTGGAAAAATAATTTCATTTTCAGTTGGTTTTTACTGATTGATATTCAAATTACTATCCTTGTTGCGGCAACTGTTTCAGTTATTACAACGTCGCCTATCTTTCATTGTAAATTGCGTAGTAAGAATTGAAAAATAAAATTTCATATTAATTAAATGTATGTATTCAATATTGTTTTTTATTTATAAGGCACGATTTGTTTTTCAAATCTTCGTGTTACGCGTGCAATCAATTACGAACGATCAACTAATTAAGAAACATGAGACGAAATATCCTAATATCATTGTTCCTTGTTCCCAAGTAAACAGAAATCAGACATCAAAGACGGAAGGAAACGCGATTCATAATCCCTAACCTTGGGATCCTCGAGACAAAGAGGAAAAGTTAGGAAAACGATTAAACAGCCGTGTTGAGCGCTTTCTATGCCAAAATTATACTTTCATATGGGCAATTGCAATGCAGTTTTTTTACGCGCGGCCCTACGATTTTTAACGCACTACTTGACGAGCTCGTTTGCTTCGTGAGAGCAAAAAGAAAAAAAAAAAAAGAACGAGTATTGCAAAATTTTTAAACGAGCCGTGACTTGTACGAGTCTATTTAACTTCGTGATTAATGCGCGTGCGATATCCACAGCACGGAGGATTAATTGCGAGACGTTTCTCTTCGCACAATTTCATGTAACGTGTCTTCAACGTATCGCAAACTATGATTACACGCGTTACAAACCTCGTCCAATGAATAATACCACGAGTTTTAGCTTATGCTCACACGAGAAACCTTTTGTTTTGCCGCGAAAAGTGTGTCGTTGTATCTTCTCTGTGAGTACGTGGCAACGACGTAGTATTTAACTCGACGATTATATCAATGATTCTGAAGTTATGCACTACTTTAGAGTTTAGGTGGAAATCCGACCGGAGCGCGACGTAAATTATTGGCCAACGATTTTCGTAATCGTCTCTCGTGTCAGTCACTAGCTACCGTAACTTGTTTACACAAAAGCGAGCTTCGAGTTAGGAAACGCGTTACCGGAACAGTCAGACGTACTAAGTTAATTCGCGATTAAAATTTATTCTCGTTATATCATATTAATCGACCAGCTCTCTAGAAAATAGACGCGCAAGGGAAAATGGCAAATCGGATAAATTGCAGTGGTGAATTTTAGTTCCGATCATTTAACGTTAAATATGTTTGAATTGATCTGGTTTCTAGGCTTATGGTTTTTAATGGTTTCTAATAATGACTCGCGAAGAACTTTGCCTTTTTATATTCATGAAACAGATAGAAATCTTGTAATAGCTCAACTATTTGACTAGAAAATACACTTGCCAGGTGTATGAATATTTATCAGAGACCTATAGGTTCTTCTTCATTTTAGAAAGTTTCTCAAATGAGCTTTCTAGTACTTGACGTATTTTGTGTTTAAAATTATACTTAAACTTTATTATAATAGAAAGTCGCAAAGAGCTATTACATGTCGTGTGATACACTTTATTTTATATTTTTTTCATTTTAATGAACAAACAAAGAAGACAACTCGATCTATCCAGCATGTACTTTGTTACCACTTTTTGTATAACGAAGAAAGATTAATGCGATTCCATGGGGATTTTTTTCTAAAGAAATAAACAACAGAAAGTTTTCTAATGTCATCAAAATTTTTAGTTCTAAGTTGCTTTCATCTTTATTCATGATACTCTAATAACCTCTGTACTTTAACAACCTAACTTTCAACACTGCCCGCTGACTAATGGACACTTCGTACCTCGTGTACGAATTGCCTTTTTTTCTACAATTTGACGTCGCTAAATTGTTCTTAAACGTCGTTAACTGCTTTCCAAGTCATAAACTTAATCGTTTAGTAACAGCAAAACTATTTCGTTCTATGGAAATTTGCTTATTTGTGCCCATAATGTATTTAAAAGTACCGCGTTATTATTAATAGTATTTTATGGTATTAGTGATATCGCGTGACTCAAAATAACTCACGATTCAATATAGAATATAATTTTACAATAAACCCGCTATTTGAAAATAATTCTTTCATCGTTTGTTACTGCGTGTACGTTGTTAACACATCGTCGTGTGAGTCAACTCAACTTGAATTTTACTAATTCACAAAGAAATTCTATATGAAAAAATTATTTAACTTTACTGCCATAAAATTGTTGTTTCAAAATTCAGAAATCTTATATCGAAACTTTTCCAAGATTTAATACGATATTGCTATAGCAAAAAAGAAAGACGCATAAAACGATCGTCATTTGAAAATTTCATCGTCTATCAATATTCATTCGTATTGCTTTTACGTAACACTATGCAAGTTAAAAGAACTGGGAAACCGCGGTGCAAAGGTTAAACGAGACGATGGGCATCGTTGTCGAAAAATTTCCGTCGCAGTTAGGATTTACCGGTGCGCTGAATTGGCCGGCATTATGTTACTTTTCCTTAGGATCGTTAACATCGGGCCCGCTCCGCAGGTAGCATATTTATGCTATCGCGAAATCCGAGATACAATGCCAGCCGATCGAGTTACACCGCCTGCGCCACCACGTTTATGGTTTATGCAAAGCCTTCTTATGCTTGCATGACGCTCATGACACACTGCGTAAAACACAAGTCTATTAAGGCGACGTCTCTCCAGTGTACATATTTCACCGTGTACTTACATTCCTTGTTAGCGTACAATAAAAAGTTTCACCGTGGTAAAAACGTTTAGTGACTCTGTATCGATGGTAGGATTAGAAGAGAAAGAAACATTTCGTTCGATGATCCTGTCATTTCTACTCACTATGGTAAATGGGCAAGGTGACTTGGTGAATGTAAAAAAATGAAATCGTCTGGTTTTTGTGCAATTGTTCAGCAGTTTGTGAAAGTAAATATTCGAGTAAGTTTTTGCGTATTGCTGACACAAATATTATTATGGTAGTACGTATTTCAATCGTGTCTTTTGTTATTATTCGTTTTATTTCGGTAAAATATCCTTTTGCAATGAACAACACAGATGTCTTTTAACACATCCTAATGTAATAAATTATGAAATCGAGTAGATAATCTATAATTATATATCAGAGATGGTATCAATTATTCATAAACAGTGTTTTGAGTAAAGATACCTTGTATGATAAGAGGTTTAATATTGGAAGGTTCTTAGAACTTTTGTTAATATCTTAGATTCTAGTCAAGAGATTTTCTTAAATATTCTACCGTCTAACGAATTTGTTTTCTATTTGCATAAGGGTATTTCGCATACCTTTTCTTGCGAAAGGTAGTGGTTAGAGCAAAATTATTAAGCTAATTTAGCAATTATACCAATTTACCTTCAATTCAGTGGACATTCGAAGTCAAGAATGAGATACCTCGTAATCTAGCCTCGGCGTTCTATTTACTAAGCATATTATATCTTATGATAAATATGTACCTAGAATTGAAAGAGAAGCTGTAATCTGCAACTTTCGTTTCAAAATTATTCCAACGTAGATCCAAAGCCAATTAGACGAATTAACAAATATTCACATTTTTTTTCACACGATATACCGTACTATTGGGTTGGCAACTAAATGATTGCGGATTTTGTCAACACCTGCCTAATGAAAAAATCCGCAATTACTTAGTTGCCAATCCAATATAAACCTCTTAATAATCTTGACAACAATCTTGAAATATCAAAAATTCAACAAAATAGATATATAGCTACACCATTATCCAATAATATCATCAAGTCAGTTAAGATTAGCTATACTCACATAAACTACTAGAAATAATCTATTAGAACATCCTTGATTAAATGTCGCTGTTTGCACAAGAACGTTAATCAGATTCAGCATCGTTAAAAAAAATTACTTCTATCGATTCTATCGAGACGATTAATTTCCCTTGCCTTGACATCGATATTTCATCGAATCTCTATCAGGAATCAAGCTCTATCAATTATACCACTCGTTGGAAAAAGCAAGATATAAATTCAGCTGTTTCGATCGACGTCGAAGTATTAACTTTTATCATCGGTGACGTATTCTTTATTTGGGGACAGTCATTTCTTCTTGTTTATGTTTCATTATCGTTTAAACGTTACCGATATAAAAATTATCCGGTGTTACACGTAATAGCGGCAATAACATCCGATATTCCAGGGATTGCAAGCGACACTCGCGAAACAATCGTTCGCTGACACGCCGAATAAGCCATTCGTCATTGCATAATACGCTCCTTGTCGCTGAGAATGAGCGCCGATGCACTTCTACAGCTGGTTGACGGATTTCGAAACCCGGATAAAAATTCTTCAATGACTCATTGATTCAAGCTAATCGCGCATTAAACCACGATTCACCGTGCTCCTTACTTCTTTCATTAAGTAAGAAACGTTAAACCTCTATAACGATATATAACTTGCAAGTTACGTAATCATGTACCTACGTATTATACTTTAAATCTCTTGATTTACGTAGTTACGATAGTGACGTACCATTATCTTTTAGAACAATACAGTACTTGTCAAAGTTTACCATACTTTAAATAATAATGCCTTGACTTATCATTGAATGAAAATGAAACGGTTTTATAAAAGCTTTGGTCACGAGGTTACAACTTAGTGATTTAATTGGGCATGACTTTTCTGCATATAATTACTGGTACGCTTATGGGAATTATGTAAGATGATGTATATTTTGTTTCAAAATATTGAAGATAAAAGAAGCTAAAGTATCCTTTCGCTTGACCAAAGAAAGGGACGTTTTTGTCCTAAGCTTCTCCATTTTATGGCTATACGATTGAATATGAAAAGTATATACGCGCGATAGAGATTCATTGCGTTGAAATGAACCAAGTAAAAAAGAAAAGAAATCTGTTTTTTAATTCATAGCACCACGGTCCATGCTTCGCAAAACATCAAACTGTGTCCATCTAACTGCACTCAGTGGTACGTAGAAAGTGCATAAATATGTATGTCAATTCCGCTTACAAAACTGCTGATCCTTGACCAACGCGGTTCTGTAGGTAAAAGCGGAGTTCCCTTGAAAAATGCAGCTTTTCCTAATTGGTACAACCTTACGGAGAACGTGCAAACCAACTGCAAATGCTCTTACGAACGTAAGTAACCTGTTATTTTACCTCGAGAAACAAAATATCTTTGCTCGTTTACATAAGTACGATCTAACTACACGGTCACGAATAGACAAAAGAGAATCGCATGACGGATCAGTCCGACATCTCAAGGAGACAACTTTCCGATTAGTCCCTCTCCATCGTCTACGTAATCTGCTCAATCTGCGGTGGGCAACGTGCGGTCTTATCATCGTTACGCCACGCAGTTCTCCGTGCTAAGGAAAATTGTACGTGAATGACACGATGGATTTCGAGGAAAAAGCAAATACGCTACTAATGACTCGACTAGATATACTCGTTGATCGAGAAATCATAATTTCACTCGACCGATAATACGATTATCAAGCGTATGGATTTTCTTCGCTACAGTTTTCTGTGTGTATATCGCGATTGTTTATTTTAATTAATGTCTTATGTGTACTTTTTCTAATATTTTGCGCGTGATGTATAGGCATTAATTTCGTTACCTGTTACTATATGGTATGCTCGTTTTCTTGGAAAAATAATAAAGGTAAAAAGTTTAACATCTTCAGTCTTCGTGGATACAAATATGTAATATGATCAAATATATATACATTTACTATATATTACTCTTTCTAATACACACTAGGGAAAATAAACTAATCAACGGGAAAACTTAAAACAATAATCGGAATGGATGTACCGTTATGCTCTTATTCACGCGAGTATCAATTCACGACTGCTTAAAATTTAGTAATCCTTATCTCATAGATATCAATATACTTGACGTATGTTTGTCTTATTACCCATATACTTAATTGTTCTATGGATTTGAAGCGAATAAAATATGTACATATAAACTACAAAGGAAAGATTCTTATTTTATTCTAATTCCAAGAAATTCTTATTTAACGTAGATACAGTTTTCTAAAATTTTGTGAATTCCAAACTTCGATAAACTGTACTAATAGTTATTAGTACTTATTATATTACTAATGAATTTTTAGCGTAATAACGGTAATAAATCAGAAACAAGCCGCAGTTACCTAATCCACCAACATCCTATTCCAATACGTTCCTTATTAATTTTTCTGTTACGAATCAGTTTCTCTATTTCTCTTTATGCTCGAAAAAGACAAAGAGAGGAAGAGTGGAAGAGGGAAGCAATATATACACGGAACACTAAGGCTTTCGCGTAGCAGTTGCGCAAGCCGCGAAACAATTAGATGTAAATCCCGGCAATGGACTTTCTAAATTCACGTATGAATTAGTCCGAGGGCCTCGATTAAACCGCACACTTCGAGTTCCCTGGCTGGATGTTTACCTACGTAACATATGCAACTCTCTCTCTGCGTCTTACTTCGTTTGTTTAATTTAAACAGACAATTGAAATAGGCAAAGGAAAGCAAGAAAATTTTTGAAATTAGAAACGATTGAATTAATAGCAATTAATTAAGCCGTGTCTTACGATACAATTAAGCGCACCAATTTCTAATTTCTAATTTGAATTTCTGATTAATTAAAAATTGATTTCATTATGCTTCATTATGGAGTAAAATCTTCGTGATCGAAACGTATTATAAAGTATCAAAGCATGAAGATTTTGTACGTGATTATCTATTAACGATTCCTTTTACCCGAATTTAACGTAGAATTCAGACTCTAGATAACCGATAACCGATACATTATTAACGTTTTATCGAGCTAAGTTATTTTGTATCTAGATAACCGATTTTCTACTGTACGTATGAAATACGTGTTATTTCTGATAAACATTGCAACATCTAACAAAGTGATCGAGATAAAGCAGACAATGCAGGTGTAATACAAATAACTCGAAACATTAATCCGAAAATATAATAACAGGATTATCGAAGTAGATACGCGTAACGCCACCTTGTTCGTATCACGATGGAAACGACACAGTGAGGTCGCGAATTAAATTATTAAAACAGTGATATCGTTTGATGTAGCCGCGGACCACCGCGGAGTCTCGAATTGTGAAAATTCGATCGTGAATTGCTATTTGAAATTTTACACTACAACAGACATGTGTTTTGTACGATCATATGTTCTTCCAAGCCTTCCAAATTATCAGTCAGTTTCCTAAATTGTACAATCCAGAAAGAAATTTGTCAAACGTACTACATATACGGAAATAAGCACACATAATTTAAATAGATTTGATATCGTCGGTCCTAGACCATACTAGAGTTTTCTTATCTTCTCTACGTGTTTCGAATTAGTGCGCCGTTTTCGAAACATGATAAACTTCAACGCCTGACTGATTTTATGACCATGAGATATCCCGATGCTTTCTTCCTGTTAGAATCTGCTTCTATTTTTAAGTAGCTACGCATTCCAACTGTAATACGATAAACGCCATGTATTTACACAATTGTAAGGTCATGGCGAATTAATACAAAAAACGAAAGTCGAGAAACATTCACAAAAACACTTTACTATTCACAAGCAGTGTAACACTAAACCAGTGAAAGCACTAGACCGCAAAAAACGAAAAGCAACGGAACTTAATAAAGCGTAAGAACGAAGAAGAAAGAGAAGAAGAGAAAGAAAGAAAGTAAAAAGAGGGAGATAAATCGAAGAAACATGATAATACTGAGTGAGACGGAGGTAGAGAGCTGCAAGTGGCAAACGACGGTGTCGCATGTGCCTCTGCAGATAAGAGTCTGCAGTCGTCGGACTGGCGTTGTCTCTGCGCTTAAAAATTATGCTGCGCGATAGGAGGCGGCAGCGTGCGTCGCGTCAGCTTCGGTTGCGCAACTTGCGCCACGCAACGAAATTCGATCATCTTTGCCGCATAACGCCGCGGCGGACAGAGACAAAAAAGAGAAGGGGAAGAGGGATGAAGACACAGAAAAGCAGAGGGAGAGAGGCAGAACATTAAAGGTGACAAATGGCGGTGACATGGCGCAATTGAAGCGACGCCGGAGATGCTGGAAACCATAGCTCTCCACGCGAGGTCACCAGAAGAAGTAATCGCTAGCGACGCGCGACCTGGAGGAGGATTAGCCGATCGAACCGAATGAAATATCGCGAGGAAGTAGGCTGACTCAGAAAACGATCGAGAATGCACGTGAATTACAGAGATGACAAGAACTACGTACTTTTGCTATTAACCCTTTCACACTCGATATTTTAACAAGTTATTGATTGACTAAATAATAAATATTTTTTTTTGTTTTATTTCTTTTAAAAGCTACCCAAGGAGATGTGTTTCCGAGGTTAATGATTAATAAATATTTTTAGAAAATTGGCCATAGACTTTAGTGCGTTATGTGATCCTTGAAAAAACATCCAACAAGAAACCTGCTTCTATCGTTCACAATCGATAAGGAGCAATTTTTCTCGCGGGCTAAAATAGAGTTCGATCTTGAGAGGGTTGGACTCGGTTCAATCTTTCATTCTTGTCATTCCTTCTAGCACGTAAGCGTGAAAATAACTGCAAATGCTACTTAATTACAAAACGTGGCCGTCGACATAAGGAGTTTAAGCCTCGTTTCGGCATCGATGTTGAAACTGACGTTATTAATAAGATGAGATCGATCGAAAGTTGTCGAACTTCTGGTTCGTTCCAGTTTTTTACGTCGGACGGTCGAAGTCAAGGCGAGTTACTCGATTTCGTGCATGGCAACGAAGGGTAATTATTTTTATACGCGTCACCTTGTGCCACCGAATATTGTTGAATGGCTGAATGCAAAAGGCGGGACTTTTAAGAAGAAACTGTGTCATGAAAAAAAAAAAGCTATTTAGAACGAAATTCGTGCGACGATTTCCAGTGATTCTTCTATTATTGGATTGTTCAGAAAATTCGCAGCGAAATTTAACATCAGAAATACCAGTTTCTGATTCTTCGTCTAATAATTTCGTAAATTTACGTCGGTATATTTTGAGAATTTTGGGTGATTCTTTATAAAGTGTACGGATAAAAGTTGACTTCTGAACATTAATAACAAGTAGTTGAGATCAGAGACTAGTCGAGTCCCTACATCTGATTCAATCACAGATGTACTAAAATATGATGACACAAAAATATTGCCGCATCTTTCGACTAAATATTAGTTGATCTGTTGACTTACCTCTTGAGATACGGGATTATTCTTGTTCTGGCTGGTGTTGGATGCATTATTAATGGAGGAGAGCGAAGTGAGGGTTGCAGTACCGACACCGCCGACCGTCTTTCCGCTGACCTTGGTACCAGCACCACCGACATCTTTGTGCAGCGTTCCAGGACTCTGAAATGAAATATCGACGCGCGTTAGAACAATGCTTGGGGCAAACGTATTTTTCTCTCTCTTTTTTTTCTGTTGGTTCTCTATGATAATGAGGTTGGAACCCGTCGACGTTGCATCTCTGATAAAATACGAGGTCGAGGAAAAATTAACGAGCGCCGCTCTTTGGAGAAAAAGCGTTACTTATTGGTTAAATTTTGAAACGATACTTTAGCAGAGTTGTTCTTTCGTATATTTTCTGCGCGTTGGATAAGAACTAAACAGTTTATTCGTTTGAATGTTTCATCAAATTTGTTGTTATTCTTTATATGTATATAATAAAATGGTAAAAACTATAGGCATATATATTTAATAAAATAGAAATATAATAATAATCTAACTTTGTCTCTTTGAAATGTAACTCTTACTTTCATCTTTATACGACTTTCCTGTGACAACTTTCGACTCTTCAGTGATTCACACTGGCTTCTCTCTCTTCTTAATTATCTACGCGCGTATATAGCGATCATAACAAATTCTTACCACGTGCACGCTATATTCTCCTAATCACTCATCACTCGCTACCGATTATTACTCTGGCATAAACATTCGCTCGGTTCTCAACCATTTATTATTCACATGAATTCTTGTTCTCGTCGTAATAGCCACAATGGAAGATCTCGAAAGATTGAAAATTTTTGCCGGGCTATTCGAATTTAAAATATATTTTCGATACCAGTACATACAAGAGATCTATATAGTATACATAGAATGCATAAATAGAACAATTTTGCAAACTTGCACACTCCTTTTAGGTCTACCATTGAAATTATAAAATCGACGTACAGATAATTAAAAAAGGTACCAATATCCGTATACTCAATTTTAACAATCTTCACGACGATGTTTTGTATATTACAACATTGAAAAATATCTTGCCAGAATATACATATAAATACCATTGACTCTAGAACTACCGACAGTTAAGACAAAAATATTTCTACCAAAATCAGACAAAATGACTGGTCTTCAAAAAAATACGTAATATCTTTTATTAAAAAAATTATTATTCAAAATATAGAATATCTTTATATTTATTGATTTATTATCTTCTTACATTTTGACTGGTGTGGTAGTTCTAGTGTTAAGTAGAAAATATTATGAAATTCTACACACGAAATTTATTCAATGTATAAAATTTTGTGTAAAATGCGTGTGCTCACTCAGGTTCGTCAAATCTTCTGCATCCTCATCTGCATTTTATTCTACCCAATTACTCCGTGAGGAGTTTCAAACCGTTCCTTTCCTACACCTCGAAATCTTCATCGTTTCATTTTTGATTTTTTACCGTATGCGAAACGGTTTCATTCGCTAGATGAAAACTCGCCGTGGCATTTACATTAATTCTCACAGCGAGGAGAGATCCACGTTCGCTCTCTGTCAATTAACGCGCACGTATTTCATGTGAACGTTGTTGCTGGGCCGGTCGAGCGGGCTTATTTCTGTTAATTAAGGGCCCGCAGCTACTTCTAATTTATGTATCGCTTCATTTGAACCTTGTCACGGTATACCAAACCGATTTAGCAATAGGAGACAAAGAGATGACGTGGATGTACGTTCGAAATGTA